GACCTCTAGTAACATGTCGTGATATTAAACATAAGAACATATTATGGCTAAGGCTACAGTTATACACGTCATAATAATAATATTAAACATCCTGTCTGCTGACAGTCATCAACTCTTCTCTCTAGTTATCCTTGACCAGATGTACCCTGTAGAAACTCATAAGCATGACTAAGCATTTAACAGTCTAACTAGACATCCTATCTCCACTAAACATTTCTAATACATAAAGTATCTAACCAATTTCTATCTGACTAAAAATACCTAACAATCCTATATCCACAAGGCAGTGGCGACTGTATCTTGGGCGCAACGTAGACGTTGAACTACGCGCACTAGAACATAAATGCAACAAACGCGAAGATGCACTATAACACATTTTTAGGCACACAACTCAGAGAGAGAGGGCGGCAGCTGCATTCGTTCGTGCCGCCAGATTAGCGGTTCGATTTCCTTGTCCACGTGTCGAAGTGTCCTTGAGCAAGACACTGAACCCCCAGTTGCTCCCGGTGTGAATGTGTGAGCGCTTGGGAGTGCAAATGGGTGAATGGCCGTGTGAAAGCTCTTTGAGTGTGCTCCAATGCATAGAAAAACACTATACAAGTATAGGACCATTTACCATTTGGATTGTCAGTTGTATCCTGTTATCAATGCAGTTCAAAGGGATTTCTGACTCTCCTGTTATCTTGCACTGACCTTGGGAGGCAAGCACTACTGCTCTGTGGTTAAATGTATGCACTGTTATTGAATGTACATATTGAAGACTAAAGTAAAAACATTTACAGTACACAGCTCAGTCATTTGCTTGCTTAGTACCCATGCATGATATAAAAATGTCAGGCTTTGATTAGAAGAAAGATGTATAGACTGACCTAACAAAAGATCAAGTGCCCAGTAAGACAGACAGCTAATAGATAGAGAAGCCTCATTTAGAGAGGAAGGTCTGTTTGTGCTGCCAATATGACAAAGGGGAAGTCGACAACCATTGATCCATGCTCACAGATGACAGCTTAAAAATTCAGCAATAATCATGACAAATGAGGAGAGACACAGCTGCCAGAAAATTATCAATAATCGGCAGCTGAAAAGAAATGCCAAGGTCAGAGAGAAAAGGCTACTGGAGCTCTTTGTGAGAGTGGACGCTATACTGGTAAAGACAGGAGGAGCAGCTTCTAAAGCAAGGTAGAAGCTTTTAATTACATTTTTGATCCTACTGGGATATGAAAGTCCATCAGTACGGATTCCTTGCCAGAGCCCACTGAATGCCAAGGGCAAACAGACCATTATGTAATATGTAGTTTGTGGTGGTTTAGGTCCCTAACAGGGGAGCTGGTGAATGGATTTCCTGCATCAATAACTCAATCCCTTTTCAAAGGAAACCCAAAGAAGGCATTGGCTTTAGAAGCATTGTGTTTCATGACAGGTCATCGCTGATGTAGGCTCAAGTTGAAGGGATTTACTTATTTATTTTTCAACATTCAACACCATCTTTTCAGTCGCCTGGCCTGGCTAGGGTCCTGGTGGCAACCAGAGTAGCCCACTGAGCTGCAGCAAGATCCTTCAAGTACCTTAAGGCCATCTGGGAGTTGTAGTACCTCCAGTGTGCTTGGTCTGACCTCCAAATAAAAAGGCCAGTGTCCAAACTGTTTATCCCCATAGAACAAAGACTTTGTAAATTGCTGAACTCTAAACAAGGCCATGGAATACTACTGGCCGCCCAATGGAGCAACTTCATCAAGGTTGTTTTTTCTTTTTGTATTTCAGTTTCATACATAAAAGCCTGACCAGATCCTGCTCCTCATCTTTGCTTGGCTGTTGGTGACAATAGTATAAAGCCCACAAACCTCATCCTATTTTACTTATGGGGTGGGTTTGATTCTAGATTATCAAATACCATAATGAATTGGACGGCAGTTTGAATTAGTCATTTGATAAGAGTGATGAGTCACCCAATATCTGAAAGGCCACTGCCTCGTTGATTCACATATCTTCCATCCAACATGCTTTGTAGTCATATCTGAATTCATGATATTTCTGTCATCAACCCGCATATTGTGTTTTTCTTCTTATACACAAAGTGACCCTGCTGACTACATTGTCATTATCGCTAATGAAGTCAGTGACTATTGGCAATTAATAGTGGCATCATTAGACTCAGCACTCTTTTCATTTAGGCTTTGAAAGTTGCATAATGTCCTTGGTTATTTGCTTCTGAAGTAGAATGAAAGGGGAGTAAACTGTAATGCAGTAAAAGGAGTTGCTGACACAGCCAGCAGAATTCATTTCAGTGAGATGCAAATACTGTAATTCACTTAAAAAGGCACCAGGCAGGTCACTTGTTCAGTCAAGGTTCAATGGGCCATGAGGTCAAAAAGACAAGAGAGTTATTTGCCGGCTGTGCCAAGCTACTCTGATCGACTCATTCTGGCTTTGGGACCTGATTTGTGTCCTCTGTGTGAAAAGTGGCATGTAACTGTGGGTATGCACTCTTCAGGGGAGGTGCGCTTTCTCGCATCTCTAGTCCAAACTAGCACACGGCTTATGACAACACAAGATATTAATCCTCAGCTAGTGAAAATGATCACAGTGCAAAGAGAGAAACCTCAGTGGAGGTGTGAAACAATGAGGTGTCCTCAGAAGCTCATTTGTTGTGTGTTTGGCATAATTGCGTGGCATATAGAATGTCTGCATCTATTCACAAAGTGTTGTAATTTTTTAAGATACTGTTAGCATCATAATGTGATACGTTGCCTCAAGAGGGATGATTATTCTGTCATATTCGTGTCGCCCAGTTGCTGCCCACACACTTCCTTTGCCTTTGCTGTAAGGATAAAGCACAGTTCCTGTTTTTCTGGGACCATCTGTAAGAAAAAACCAGCCCAAGGTAAAAATGATGACTGCAACTTGGCAGGAGATTAAACGGGGCCTTCGCAAAAGCCATTAATAATTCTCATATTTTGGAAACACGCCATACATACAGAATCTGTGGTATTTATTCTCCTCTCTCAGCGAATAAAAAAAGGTCAACTGGGAGGGAGAGACTTTTTCCCCCCGCCCAGAGTGATGGACCTAGCTTTTCCAAGACACCCCATTTGTCTGTCAGGGCTGTGAGCAGAGCCAGTGATTTAGTTTCCATCACATGAAGTTCATGTCCGGTTGATGATACTGCCAGGCGGGATATGGGGAGAATTTGTCACCTGCAGCTTTGACAGGGAGATAATTGCTGATAGTTAGCAGAATAATAGGATAAGAGCACTACTAGCCACACAGGGTTTAGCGAATGTTTGTTGTTCACACTTGATCACACATTTTCCAAGATCATTTTAGTACTGACTTTACACAGATCAACTGAGGATGGAAGATATTTTCATGACACTGCTGAAATGCTGGTTATATGGTGGTTGTCCATGTCATGTTTTTATTTATTACAGGTGTTCCGATGCCTGTCTTGAGTTGAGCATTTTGCTTCAAACATGAAGAATGAACTATGCAGATAAAAGATTTGCTGTGAGGAAAATAGTAACATTGGCTTAAGTTTATTCTCCATCTCTTTCTACCAATGCAGCCTCTCACCTGTCTGGCAAGACCCATAAATCCAGAAAGTACAATAAAGAACACCAAAGGTAAATAAATACAGGACAAGGAGCAGGTGTTGTTTAAATAGATGTGTTCTTGGTTGAGAGTAGCATTTTATTATGTATTTTTAAATAATATCCTGCATGTGTTAGTTAAATTGCAGTGAAAACGTGTATGTCATGTCTTGACAGTGCCACACATTTCTGTGTCTGCTTGTGTGTGTCATGGTGAACATCCACAGGGCCAGCAAAGAACCCTCTGGCCCATCAGCAGGTCTCATACAGTCTCAGCACCTCTGCCATGCAGCATCCACAGACAACAACTCTGCCTGTGGCTACAAACAAGGCAAGGCACATCAGAGCACAATACAGACCCATTTTGAACTCACCAGGAGTTGCAGTCCCTCTCAGTTGAGTCAGAGGTTATTTTTCCTTTCATTATTTCTCAGTTGATCCTCAACTAGTGCCATCTGTAACCTCCAAAGCGCAGTAGTTGGTGAACACAGCACGTGCTGTTTTCTTTTTGAAGTTTGGGCTGTTCTGGGATTCTTACTGACAGGATTTCCAAAATTCTTACATTCTCAGTTTGCAGCTGGTCTGACCGATCATCTGGGGTCTCTTAGTGTTCTGTCTTGAGGCTAATTTGGGAATCATAAAAACCACTGAGCCTAATTAGTTAAAATGAAAAAGCCAAAGATGTGTTTATTTAAAGTACTGTTGCCCCAAGTGCTTCTTGAATTCCCTTTCTAATGGTATTGGCACCACGTTCGGAGCATAAATGTTGTGAGTTTTGATATTCTCTTCAAATGTAAGACAATGAAGATCTTTGTTGAAATTTAATGTGACCCAAATGTTGGCAAGATGAGTGATTTACAAAAGAGACAGGTTACAAAAGAGACAGCTGTGAAGGATAAAGCAGTAAAAGGAGCGAAGGGAGTAGATGAGGGAAATGTGCCAGAAAACTCAGCTGTGGGGATTAGGGAATAATTTCTCTATACCAGCCAGTGCTGGGTCAAAGAGCACCCCCCCCCCCCACGCCCACCCGTTGGCCAGCTGGGGTGCAAAAATATAACTTTGAAATGAATCACAAATCATCTCTGTTGGGAGCACCTGAAATATTTATTGCTGTTGTTTCAGTTGGTGTGACTTTATGTGTTGTTTGTATATTGGATAGTTAATGGTGTGGGGTGTGTTCGTTGTACTGCTGAATGGATAAATCTTTTTAACATGAAAAAATATGAAGGTCTTATTGCCTTTCCAAGAGGGTCTTGATACATGGATGTCTCTTGGGCTTGAGGGCCGTGGACATCAGGCTTTTTAAAACGATGAAGCATTTTAAAAATGTGAAGCAGTTGCGAGGCATGTAGGTCCCACCCAGTAACAGAGTTTAGCCCTATGACTGCTCTTATTCTAACTATGCCTAATGAAGGTGGTGGGGAGGGTTAAAAAGTCTCCGGCATGCAGCCAGGCATCACTGATCGGGCCATTGGAGCAGCCGCTGGGCTGAGCATGATGGATGTCTGGTGGAATGAGTTTCTGCCTAGTACTATTGTGAAATCTTTTCATTGTCAATGACGGGACCTATGAAGGAGCCTGATAAATGAGGGAGCAAGTGTCAGAAACGCCCTTCTTTGCCCTGCTGTGGCTTTAATATCTCCCTCAGCCACAGAGCAGAAAGTATTGATAAAAGCAAAAGTAAAAAAAAAAAAACCACAGTACGTTAGAGTCAGGCAGAGCAAGGTGGGGGTGATTAAGGAGATCGGCTGCCGGACTCACCCACAGGAGGTTGCTGTAAACACCACTTGAGGCCAGTGCCAATGATGAGAAGGGGAAACTGCTTTTTTGTGGGGAATTGGTGTTACCTCAGTGACATGGTGCTATGATAAATGTGTTTCCTCTGTTCTCAGTGATAAAAATCTGGACTCTCGTTGGACCTCTCTCACTTAGCAGACACATCTTCATCACAGTTAACAGAAGTGTGGAAGGGAGTTTGCAGGACCAGTATTTCTTCAGTATCTTAAGCAATTGCACAGCAAAATGCCATTACTATCTTTCCTGATTAATGAATTAATCCATTACACTATAAAATGTCTGACAGAAGTTCCAAGAGCCAGGCTGGCATTTTTTAAATAGCTTCTTTTGTGTGACCAACAATCCAAAAAAGTGGCAACTCCTCATGTTTGAGAGGCTGGAACAAGTTTGTTTATTTTTGCTTAATAAAAGACTTAAAACAATATTCTGTTATCAAAGTTCAGTGTTGACTAATTTTCCGTCAATCCTCCAATGGATCACTTGACTAATTGTTTCAGCACACCCCTAAATGGATTAGAATTTATGAAGCAAATACCAATGAAGTATTTATGAAGTTTAAAACTGGAGTACAACATGCACACAGCCACAGCTTTGCTTTTATTGCACCCTTCTTGCAGCTTTGTGGTCTGACCTTGCAGCTTGTGTGCCCCATCCATCTTGGGCTGTTTAGCCATTTCACTGGATACATACTGCACAGATTAACACAATTCATCACCACAATCATCCTCGATTCATCACCCTTCCCAATGAATGTTTTGACATCTAGTTAATTTTCTGCTGATGATTTATCAAATTATAATTACCATACTCTGAAGGAGCCATTCATTATGTTGATACATGATAATGATGCCAAAGTGCATTGAATTTTAAGTAAGTTCCCTATGATTTTAACATATGCATTATTGTGAGTAATGACTTACACTTTGGTCCCCTCCAGCAGTACAAAGTCCAGGGACTCTGTTAATGTTGTGACGATCAGTGCAGAAACAGGCAGGCTGGTAATTCAGTTTTTCAATATAAATTATTGCATGAGAGCATGCGCAGCATAAAAGGTTCACTCGGATTCAAGTCTGATTTAAGGTGGTTTGTAATTAAAGTGTATTAATTCATTCGGAGGTTCAGTTACGCTCCTAGGGAGCAAAGACTTTGTTAACAGCTTCGGGTTTAGCTGCAGTGCTCAGGTACTTTATTAGTGGTTCACTTGTTCATTGAACCTTACCTCTATGGCTCAAAAACAATCAATACGGAGACTGGTCAGCTCTGCATACCACAAGACAGTTAATTTATTGGTTATTCTTATTATTACTTAATTAAAATGCTCCTAAGCAATTAATTAGTCAGTAGGGCTGCATTAGTTTGTCATTTACTTTTTTAAGTTGAATCTATTAGTTGTTTACTGTCTAAAATGTTAGGTAATAGTGAAAAATGACCGCCATAAGTTTTCAGAGTCTAGTGTGATGGTAAATTGTTTTGTCTGAACACACAGGCCAATTCATACTACTACACTACATTCAAAACATAACAGCAGTAGATCTTCATATTTGAGAAGGCAGAATCTGTGAGTATGCAGCATTTTTGCCAGACAAAAAGCTTAACTGATTAATTGACTCACTGCTGTGGTAATCCTGACACTGCAAAACAATACTGTATGATCTGGATATATTCTTTAACTGCACCTTCCTTCTGTCAGTTTCTCTTAGTGTCAGTAGTAGTCAGACTGGGCTTTGCAGCTTATTTAACGTGGTAATTGGATGTGACTAACATTGAATTGATTATTGCTCTGTGTTCGGTATGCAAAAAGCATGAAACTATTGCAAGTCCAGGATGACTTGCACATCAACATGCAGGGTATGTCATATTTACAGTGTTCACAGAGAGCGTTAGGTCATTTACCCTTAAGTGGTTCAGTGTTAGCTTGTTGTTCCTAAACCACCAGGAACTAGCCTGTGAAGTAGTTTTAGTATACTGGCCAAACCATGTTACTACAATGTTGAAGGTAACTTTGTGGCCATTATAACACCTGTTTGTTGGTACTTCTTTTTGCTAGCTGGGAGACATTTTAGACTTCAGACATTGACCATTTCTCCTTCTCATAATTGTAACTTGGAAGCTAAATAATTTTCCCACGCAGCTGCTTGCATTTCCATTCTGTATGATATTGTATGAGGGTATGGTATGAGAGTGGATGTTCTCAAAGACGAATTTATTTTTCATTTTTAACATTTTTCTTCACAGGCTATTAATTATCAAGGGACTTATTTGACTGTCAACTTCTATGTTTCTCTTGTTATCTCACTAGTGCCTATTTTGTCAGGCTCAGTGAGCCATTTTGTCTCACTTTAGAATAAACAGCATCTATTATTGTGAGCTTTCATTCATAGCTCCCTTACTTCTCACCCCCACCTCCCTCTGTATCCTCTTCCCTTTCTCTCCCTACTTGCCCTGGCCCCCAAGAAACGCATCATGGGTAACCTCCACTCCGGGCTTGTCAGCCCCAATCTGCACTTATTTGGTGTGAAATGTGCACCTTGGTTCAGGGCTCTCAAGGTCAAGGCCTGGTAATTGATGTGGCTTATTCATCTGTTTCCTGTGTCTTTTCTCCCTCCTTACACAGCTGCCTTTGTTTGGATAAATAGTTTGAAGATTTACTGTAGTTCTTGAAGATCATGAGAAGTGTACCCCTGCTGACTGGGATCAGTGTCCCTGCCTCACTTGAGGTCTAGTGCTGATGACACACTGCTGGTCTGGGACAAAGGCCTGTTTTTTTAGGACAAGAACATCTCCCTGCACAACAATAGAGCCAAGACTCAAATGAGACTTAAGGTCGCTCTTGTGTGCTCTAAATCAAGGTTAAAATGGTTTGTAAAAGAGAGAAGACAACTGAGTTTTGTATGTTGTGCATGAGGAGTCCAAGCAGTGAAAAGTGATAGAAGGATAAATTTGGGGGGGTTGATCACAAATACAGCAAGTGCCACATCCAGTCTAGAATTATATGCATATCAAAATTTTCTTTTCCTAAATCTTCTAAATTGCCTTTTCTTTGGCAGAAAATCCTGGCAGGAGTACAAATTTTAAATTAGAATTTCTAAGAGCTACGAGCATCTCTAAACTAAAAAAACAACTTGTGAGCAGGCTGAAGTGAATCTCCTACAAGCACATGAAGTATCTTTTTCACTACTTCCCGAGCCTCCGCAGTGCAGTGCGTCCTTGATAGCTGTCACCCAAGGTGCAGATAAACAATGGGCTCATTTAAAACAAAGAAATGATTATGGGGGAACGTTTAATCCCAGCTTGACATGTCAGCGGGCTGCATGGGCGACATCTTTCAAAAGACTCTTTGAAGTGGCAATCTTTTCGGATTCTTGGGTCATTACACAATAAAGAACACTTCACATGTAACTGAAGTGGGCTGGGAAATAACAGTTAATGATGTTTATGGGCTCCTTGACTTGCAAATGAATTTGCAAGATTGACCGTCATGTGGCTAGCTGGTTCTTTTTAAAGGAGAGGTAAGGACTCAATCACTCA